GATTATGAGGCGCCGAAAACATAACCATATTGGAAGAAGAAAACCCACCGCAGGGGCTGGCACTGCACACACAGGCTGCTTTCACTGTACAACGTGACTCAATTGTACTGTTCTATCCTGGCGTTGCCTGGTGTGTGGGCGGGCGTTGGCTGTTGCCTATTTGGAATCGGAAGGGATTTGCAAGCTCGGTTGGAATGGAACCGGTAGTTACGCACTGTTTATTTGGGTTGTGGGCTGTTTGGTTGTGCTCGCTCGCGTTGGTCGCACAGGATCTCGCTGTATCCGGAGAAAGCGAGGTGTTGTCACTTGTATATATATATGGTGACTACTTCGGTGCTCTCACAAAAATGAGTGCGTTCAATGCACCCAACTCAAAAACTAGTCTTAAGATATCAGATTTTGAATTTTAATTTGTAGAATTAGTGTAATATAATGATATAACCTATGGTAACAACTAATTGGTGGATACCCTAAGCCCTAGACCTCCAATTTTGAGTTCTATCCCTAAGCCCCAAATTTTAAACCCTAACCCTAATCCTAAATCTCTAAACTCTAAATCTTTCAAATTAAAGTAAATCTTTAATGGGCTTTCGTGCAAATTCATGTGCGTTATTGTTCATCACATCATAAGTGATGATTGACATCATTTTGACACAAATCGCATGTTTAAAATGACGATTATGAAACGAATGCACTAAATGCACCCAAAAAAGTGAGTGCGCCGAAGTAGCCATCACACATATATATATATATATATATATATATATATATATATATATATATATATATATATATATAATACATCAAATTTTGAATTTCAATTAGTACTCTCAATCTAATATGATGATATGACATAGAATCATAACAAATCAATCTATTACCCTAACCCCTTAACCTTCAATTTTGAATCCCAACCCAAAATCCCAAATTGTAAACCTAAACCCTAACCCTAAATCCCTAAATCCTAAATCCTTCAAATTAAAGTAAATTTTGGATGATTTTTTTTTCAAATTCATGTGCTTCTTGTTCATAATTCATAAGCAACAATTGATACCGTTTTGACATGAATCACATGCTCAGAATGATAATTATGAGGCGAGCGCACTGAGTGCACCCAAAAAAGTGGGTGCACCGAATACGCCACCATATATATATATTTTACAATAACTCCCTATAATTATTTTTTTGACATCTTAGGAAACATGAAGAGTTTATAACAATGCTAAATTTCTAGTCATGCTTTATGATTTTATTTTAATGTTGCAAGTAATTGTATTTTCCTAATTTTTCTTGGCTTATATTAGAATTGTGATTTTTTCAATGACCAAAACAGAATTGTGATTTTTTGACGAAAATTAATTTGGTACTTGACAATATAATGATACTGAGACTGAACAAATTATTAGAAATTAAGATTGGGAATACCAAATTTATTTTGGTATTGCTATTGAATTTAGAGCCTTATTTGATTCGATATTTCGGTATTTACTGAAATACAGATACCGTACACCTCTACGCATAACAATACACCTGCAGCAATACTTCTCGTAATAGTAATAATAACGTGGGAGCCATTGGCACCAACGGGCAACGGCTATTTCACAATTGTCCTCTCAACGACTCTATCTGGAACAATAATATGTGCCACCTGCCGGCCTGCTTTTTCAGTTTTCATATTACTTTGTCTGAGTCTCCACGTACGGTCTGCCTCTGCCTTTTCCTCCCTCGCCATTTTATTCCAAAACAGATGCCTCTCAGTCTCAACTGCTTTTCAGTAGTGAAAAGAAAAGGGTGGGGGTGTTTCACTGTAAAATACATTTGTTGTAGCTGGGAATACAAATATGTGAGAAGAAGAGATGCCGATTAGGAATTTGATGCAATTACATTTGTTGTAGCTGTATGTCGTCACTAATCCTAGCTCTCACATATTAGCAATTGTACTTAACATTGCATTTTGTGATTCCCGTCTCAAACTAATCTTCATTCTCACACTTCCATGGACCCCTAAAACGTTCTTAAGTATCACTTTCTGACCTTTTTACTAACCTTTTCCCACAAAGCCCACAGAACAAAAAAATAAAAAAATAGCATCATAATACAGAAGACTAAAAAACAAAAAAGGTGACGATATTCCCAACCCTTTCTTGTTCCCGTCGCTCAGTCACCCCCACTCTCAAATAAATAAGTTAGATTAAGTTTCCATTTCTATAAAGCGCTCGCTCCTCGGTCCAAGATTTCCCCATACCACTAGCTGCCCATCATCTTCCCAGTTCCCACCCTCCTTCACTCCTTCTCTCTTCTTCTTCTTCTTCTTCTTCTTCTTCTTCTTCAACTCTTCCCTTCCCTTGTCACTTTCTACCCTAGCTCAGCTCAGCACGCTTTCCCACCCCAAAATCCCCTCCTCCTCCTGTTTCTGAGAGCAACGATGAAGAACCACTCCAGAGTTAGAGCCCTCTTTTGCTTCTTCATCCTTGCTCTCTTCCTCTCCCTCGCCGGTAAAATGCCTTCTCCCCTTTCTACATTAATTAATTTGATCAATCAATCAATCAATCAATCTGACTCTGTTTTCTGTCTTAACCCGCAGGTGCCGAGATCTCGAGCAGGGCCGGCGTCAACTACGGCCAGCTGGGGAACAACCTCCCCTCGCCGGCGACGTCCGTCGAGCTGATCAAATCCCTCAGAGCCAAACGGGTCAAACTCTACGATGCCAACCCCAAGATCCTCCGCGCCCTCAAGGGCACCGACATCCAGGTCTCCGTCATGATCCCCAACGAGCTCATCCCCAACGTCTCCGCCTCCCAGTCCTTCTCCGACCGCTGGGTCCGAACCAACGTCGTCCCTTTCTACCCTTCCACCAAGATCCGCTACCTCCTCGTCGGAAACGAGATCCTCACCAACCCCGATGTCGGCACCTGGTTCAATCTCGTCCCCGCGATGCGCCGGGTCAAGCTCTCCCTCCGCAAATTCCGCCTCCACAAGGTCAAAGTCGGCACACCCCACGCCACCAACGTTCTCGAATCTTCCTTCCCGCCGTCCAACGGCACCTTCCGCTCCGACATCGCCGTCCGGGTCATCAAGCCAATGCTCCAGTTCCTCAACCGGACCCGGTCCTTCATGTTCCTCGACGTTTACCCTTACTTCCCGTGGGCCGCCGAGCCCAGCAACATCAACCTGGACTACGCGCTCTTCCAGGCCCATAATGTGACCTACACCGACCCGCTCTCCAACCTGACCTACACCAACCTCTTCGACCAGATCGTCGACGCCGTCGTCTTCGCGATGAAGCGGCTCGGGTACCCGGGCATCCGGATCTTCATCGCCGAGACGGGTTGGCCCAGCGCCGGGGACGTGGACCAGATCGGGGCCAGCATCTACAACGCCGCCGTCTACAACCGCAACGCCGTCAAGAAGCTCACCGCCAAGCCGCCGATCGGGACCCCGGCCCGGCCCGGCGTCGTCATCCCGTCGATCCTCTTCGCGCTGTTCAACGAGAACCAGAAGGGCGGCCCCGGTACGGAGCGCCATTTCGGGCTCCTGTACCCGAACGGGACGGCGGTGTACGAGATCGATCTGAGCGGGCAGACGCCGCTCTCCGGGTACAAGAAGCCGCTGCCGCCGCCGACGACCAACGAGCCGTACAAGGGGGAGCTTTGGTGCGTGGTGGCGGCGGAGGAGGGGTCGGCGAACGAGACCGCGCTGGCGGAGGCGTTGTCTTGGGCTTGCTCGCAGGGGAAGGGGATTTGCGACCCGCTTCAGCCCGGTGGGAAGTGCTCTAAGCCCGACTCGTTGAGCTGGCACGCGAGTTACGCCTTCAGCGCGTATTGGGCCCAGTTTAAGAAGCTGGGCGGGACTTGCTCTTTCAATGGGCTCGCTGCCCTCACAGCCAAGGATCCAAGTAAGTTGGGCCTTCTCTGTAATTGGACTTTTGCTTACTTGGTGTTGTTGGCTGGCTGTTTATTCCCATGGTAATTAGGAGTTTGACTTGACGCCTGACGGTCTAATTTTCTCGCAGGTATTGGACGCTGCAAGGTTCCGAGCGGAAGGCTGGCTTGAGATTGGATAAAGAAAAAGGCAGGTTATTAGAGTTACAGATCATGATCCAGCCAATCATTAATTTTACCAGGCTGCTCGTTCTGTTTTGATCATTGTATTAGCATTCTTTGAATGTCTTGTAATCTGATCACAGTGATAGAATTTAGGATCATTGAGATAATGCCATTATATTACCTTTTTTTGGTGGGAAGAGGGTTTTCTTGCTCAATTCTGTTGTAAAATATGAGAATGTTGTCAAGTTTTATTATATCTGTTCTAACTGCTTTTTCGAGCAGGACTGTTCTATACTTCCTTCGATACCCTTGAATTTGATGCATAATAAGGCTGGCTCTGGCTCTGGCTCTGGCTCTAATCACCATTTGCACCACTAGGGTTTATCTGATAAATACATAAGAGTACAAGAGAAGAGACAGATACGATAGAGATGTGTGTGATATGTAGGAGAAAATAATCTGTTGCACCACTAGGGTTTATCATCCTTGTCTCTCATAGTGGTAGAGTCTTTCAACTTTTTTGGGTGGCTTTACTAGGGTGTCGCTTGTTGCGGATTTCTGGATAGTTTTATTTGTATAACTCTTGTCTTATCTTGATATCGCTCGGAAATTAAAAAAAAATCCTTATCATGCCCCTGGAGGGTGAAACAACCTTCAATTGTACCATGCAAGAGACAAAAGCGAGTCGTGGTTGATCCGGTCGTAGTAAGTGGGTCAAATATATATGGTCCAAAAATTAGAATCGTATTTTCCTAACGTCTTTCACAATCACTTACTTATGTGGAGAGATAATTCGCTTGTGATACTATTAATCAACAAATAAAAAAGCATAACAATGGAGGAACCCCAGAATACCAATAATTAGTATTTGCGAGTCCCAAATTTAACACAAAACGGAAGATCAACACAAAATTGCGCCGTTCGGATCCTACATCTTTTATTGAGTAACAGTCTTCATGGTCCAAGGAAAACTGTGGTTAGGACTGTCTTGGTGTGCAGAGAAGCCTTGAGCACTTTCAACCCCTAAAACCAGTGAACAAACCATAAAACATACAGAAAACCCAATTAAACCCACTTTTCCCGCACAAAACTCTTATGCATCAAACCCATATATAGAGAATGGAAAAAGAGGATCACCTCAGCCATGCCGAGCTCAACGACCTTCTCCTGAAGCGAACCAACTTCCCCAATGTCGAATTCGTTAAGCAAAGTGATGGTGGAGATGGTTGAAAATGGCCTCACCTCCAAATTGTCCATCACCATGTAAATCACAACCCCCTTCACGAACCCACCATCTTCTTCGCTGTTTTCAATCTCCGCCACATTTTTAGGAGCTGCGTCGATAAATTTGGCCTCGTAGCTCATTGCTTGATTACAATGGCGACAAATAGCTTGTGGGTTATCAGTCACGAATATCTCGCGGCGGGTAATTGTTAGACCATAACCTCCATACCCATCATCTGAATAATAAGAAGAAGAACTCTGGTAGCAGGAGTTACAGAGATAGATCTTTCTTTTTGCTGCAGATTCGTTGTTTTCATGGTTGGGTAACAGAAGGGTGTTGTTCATGGCGGGACAGGAGAGGAATTTTGGGTTCAGAATCGTGACCTTGCTCTGGGTGGGTTGAATGAAATCGACACTGAGGTCTTCAATGCTCTTGTACAGATTTCCAAGGCAGCCAACCATGTTGTCCGTGGACAAGAGCTTCGTCACTGATCCAAGAGGCAAGGAAAAGAGTGCGAATAGGAAATCAACAAATTCTTTTCCTGCTTCCGCGAAAAGCACTCTGCGTGTTTTCGTGTCAATTAGAAGTTTCAGAGTGACTTTGGAGGAGGAGTGGGCCGCCATTCTTGGTTGTTGTTGCCTGTTTGATGGTAAGATGAAGAAACAGGGGAAAACAGAGAGGTTTATGTAAGGCAAGGGTTGCTAATCGCCACCATGAATGAAAATGGGAGTACAACGAATTTGGAAAAACAAAGGAGATGGATATATGCGGATGATGATGTTGGAAGAATCGAATTCAAAGTGAAGCATTTACTAGAATTGCGAAATTGGTGCCTTTCAATGTTTCATCGGTTTCTTGGTGAAATTAGAAATTACTACATTGCAAGACCTCGGTAATTGGTGCCTTTGGAGCATGCTTTGCTCTGCCGTTCAAGGTGACGCTTGAAATATTGGTAGTTAAGTAGAAGAAGATTGGCATTTGGCATGGAAGGAATCAAGGAAACAGAGGCTTGAACAAGAGGGTTCAACTTCTCCTCTAAGATCTTTGATTTCAATCTACTTCTGCGGTTCAAAAAGCATTATTGTAATAAGGGTTGATACCATTAAAAAACCCGAACTATCAAAAAGTGTCACTTATTAACAAACTTATATTTGTGTGAACTTTGAAATTGACAAATTGTATAAATTTAGATGTAAATTTTGCACCAAATTTGGAAAAGAGAATAGGTGAAAGGCTAAACCCCCTCCCTGGTTCAAATCCCTTGAACTTATTTTTGTTATCCCCCTCGTTTAGGGTTATGGCTCTACCACAACATAAAAATGAAGTTAAAACTTAAAAGTGAACAAAAAAGAAACCTAATGGGAATGAAGCTACCATTTTCTGATAAAAGAAACTTGAAAACCTGAAAATGAAAACTTGTTTATCAAACTGAAACTCGAGTGATGATAGATTGTTTGAAATCAAAGTAAGAAAATATTTAATGATCTAATTAATAGACATGATAAAGTAAAAGTATTAACTATAAAAAGAGAATAAAATTTTATTTTATTAGAGAGAAAATCATATAGATTTAAATTTTATAGTGAATTTTTGAAATCAAGTATAACATATTGTTTACTATAAATGAATTGCACAAGTTTTAGGTATTTATTTTGTAATGAAATACAAGTGAATTCATTTTCAATGATAAATTTTGAATAACATCAATAATGGCAACATATTTACTTTTAGTACTCCATGCCATGTAGTTGGTACACACTTTCAGTAGTTGATTTGAATACACATAATATTATAGGTAATTTAATTAATAAATTAGGAAATCATTTTGGAAGGTTTCATTTGATTCAATTATAAAGATATTCCAAACATGATTTGGGAGTTCAATTCAATAAATTTGAAAAGATTTAAATATAAAACTCCAAACATAAAAATCCTTTTTCAAATGAATTTCACTCAGTAATTCATTTTGAATTAAAATGAATTGTTGATTCATTTGGTTTCAAATAGTCACGGGGAGGTAGACAAGAGACCATCTCAAGGCACATCATAACCATTGAGTGAGATTGTAGTCAATATTGAAAGAAATCTGCGCTAGCTAGCCTGATAAAACTATTAAAGGAGGGGTGAAATGAGATAATAGAATTTTCTAAATTTTACGCAAGATTTGCTTTCTTGGATATATTATATCTGATTAAAAGAGAAAAGTTACGTAAAAGAAAAAAATTAAAAGGACTATAGTAAATGTATTAGAAAATAATTGTGAGTAATGTCATTCAAATATTTCACCTAATCGATAAGAAGAAAAATATTTTTTTTTATAAGAATATGAGATAACAAACGTTGAAAACTAGTGGAAATGACATGTTGTCGTTTCCGGAAACAACTGAAAGTTGTCACTTCTATTTACAGAGTTGAAAACAAACAGAAAACATAATAAAAAGTGTTGGGGGAAGGGGAAAAACCCAAGAAAAAGGCCCAACCAAGTAAGGGAATGGAAGGAAGCCTGCAAATAAGGCCCAAATGAGGAAAGGGAGTAACGACTAGAAATGTAAGGAGGGCGCGGGGGATGAGGTCAGGCTGGCCAAAAGCGTACGGAGGGCGCAGTGAAGAAGGTTGGGAGCCTCGAATCTCTGAGCTCTGTGTCAGACTGTCGAGGCGCATGGTAAATTGAAAGTACGATGCATTAATTGCGATGATGACGTAGGGAGGATTTGGGAGGCAATGGTCGACCAACCTCGGAGTATAAATACTCGAGTAGGTAAATATCATTTACTCATGTTGGATTCTCTCACTACTATCTTGCTCCACTTCTCTCTCTAAAATTATGTACTAACTTGATCGTCGGAGTGCTAACGGACCTAAGAGGTCCGTTGGGCGCCTCTTGTGTAGGGTGCGAGCGCTTCGAGCGGACAGGGACCCCACAGTGGGAGTGCGAGAAGAGGAGAGAGAGTTACTCGACACAAACCAAAAATAAAAGATTTTCTCGTTTCTATTGCCAAATTTATGAAAATGAAACACGATAGGAAAATAAAAGTAAACTAATCTAGTTGTCATTCTCTAGATAGTGGACTTCCTCTGTATACCTGCTGAAAGCCATTCTCAAGAATCACTCTTGGTTTCTTTCTCCACCGTACTAGGATGTTCCTCCTCAGCATGCTCTCAAGTGAACGAGTAAGACTAACTCCAACCCTAGAGCTAAGACTAACTCCAATCATAGAGCTAAAAAGCAATTTATTTATTTTTAGCTCTTTTTTGGTGCTTCAACCCATATAATTTTGGGAGCTAAAAATGGGTATTGGTGAATTGGGAGTAGGGCTGCAAATGAGCCGAGCTACTCGCGAGCAACTCAAAGCTCGAATATGGAAAAACTCGTTCGAAACTCGATTCGTTTACTAACGAGCCAAGCTTGAGTTTAGCTTTGTTCAGCTCACGAAGCTCGCTAGCTAGCTCGACTCGATGGCTTGTTGAGCTCAACTCGTGAGTTGGCTCATTTAGAGCTCACGAGATGTCTCAACATTGTGGTTTGAGGGCCAACTTGATCACCGACTTATGGACGAATCGATCTAATTTGGACTTTCATAATTCATAGGATTGTTAAATTATATATCTCACATAATGTGAAGTTTAACATGTTGAACATGTAAGAAAATATGCCCTATTTTTTATTTTATAAAGAAATTATGTACAAAATTGTTTCGATACTATGAAATAACATGATTTGAACTAGTAAAAATTTATTAAAACAATATGACACCTACAAATTATAATATAAGATTAATTAATGTTAAACATTTGACTATTTTTTTTATCGTTACATCAATCACATGTACCATACCCGACATATAAAATGAATGTATCAAATACGATCTAAGAATTTAGTAAACAAGCCTAGCTCGAACTCGACTCGGCTCGTTAATAAATGGCTCGAGCTCAACTCATTTGTTAATGAGTCAAGCTCAAGTTGGGGTAAAACTTGGCTCAGCTCGGCTCATTTGCAGCACTAATTGGGAGCCAAATTTAGCTTCCACTTAAGTGAAAAAGCCAAATTTGGCTGGAGGAAATGGTGAACCCCCGCTGGGTCCTCCTTTATTTTTTTTTTTTTATGTGGGACTTTCTCATTGGTTGATTGTGTTTTTTTTTATACTATTTTGTGTGATATTTTGTCATTGGTTGATTGTGTATGTTGTTTGTTTAATTGTTTGAAAGAAGATATGGAATGTTGTATGTTTAATTGGTATTTTTCATTGGTCTCGAAGTTACAAACTTATGACTAACTTTTAGAATTTTTTTGTCTCGGAATTTAAAAGAAATTAGATCAAAATTTTTGTTTCAAAAGTAATAACAAACTATAAAAAAAATTAAAGTGAAATATAAAAATTAGAGGCCAAATAAGTATTGTTTATTGAAATAAATTGGAAAGGGAGGTGGGAAAGCTAAATTTAGATTTTTGTAGGGTTGGAGTGAAAATGAGGTTTGGAGAACTGAAAAACCATATTTGATTATTTGGGGAGCCGAATTTCACTTTATGGCATGGTCCATGAAACCGTACCGTACCGGTGGTTCAACCACGAAATACCAGTATCGGAGGTTAGACCGGTAGGCGGTATTTAACGGTACAACGGTTGAACTACGGTTAAAGCACGGTTTTACCATAAAATAACCTACCGCTGACTTTCCCGGTACGGTCTCCGGTACGGTTTCATGGACCATGCTTTATGGGTTAAAGTTAGTCTAAGGAAGCAAATGCGATAATAGAGGCTGATAATTGTGTGTAGACTTGTAGCCTGTAGGCTGAACGAACAGCTTTGTACATTCCCGTCGTCAACATATCATCACTCTTGTGGAATCATGTAGGAAGCCAAGGGGTTGTTTGGAGGTTGAGATTCTCCAAATTGAAGTATTTAATCAATTTGCGTATTGTAATTTGATGTATTGATTAAATGTATGAATTTGAAAAATACATTGTTTGGAAGTTTATATTGTGCTTTGTTATAAATAAAAAAGTAGAGGGTAGATAATCCCTTGGTCACAGTCTCACCTTTTGGTAGAGATTGATAATCACTCATTTTGAGTGATTGTGGGTGGGTCCAGAAAAAGGTAAAACATGTATTCTATCACAAATTTAACAAAAAAAAAAAAAAAAAACAACAACTTAATATCAGATATTACATGCATTTGACTAAATACATCGCTTGAAATCCCAACTTCCAAACGACCCCCAACTATCCATAGGATTCTTGGTAGTTGAACTTTTCGTAGCCAAACAAACTTTACATTGTACTTATTTATATTTATTATCTAAATAGTGATTGATAAATTTCAAATAAAAAAACGAAAAGGTCAAGTGGTTGCTGCTGTCTGTTGGAAATATCAAATATGTTCCCCACTCTCAGGCCCAGCTATAGATATTCCCTACACCCCCGCTTCTCAGTCCTTATCACTCCTTCAAACCCCAATCATAGCATTGGATTGGGTAGACTGACCTAACCTAACCGAACCTCTCCAATTTTCTATTTTATTTTTTTCATATAATAAAAGAAAAACATATTCGGGCAAACTTAGGAGAAAACAATTCTAAATTTTGTCTTCTCAGTCCCACTCTCAGCTCCCCTTCCTTACCCTTATCCTTCTCCAGCTCAGCAATTCTACTACTGTAGTAGTAAGGCAGCCACCATATCAGTTATCACTCACTTTCATCTGCAACTTATCTCCTCCTTTCCTTTCCTTTCCTTTCCTTTCCCTCTTCAAACTTTCTTGTTTCGGCAATTTTCACAACATTAACCTATGAAGAAATCTTATCCTCTTACTTTACCCCCAATTTAATTATTTTTACTAACATAATACACAACATTATTAGTAAGTACTTGTTTTCAATCAAACTCTAGAGTTTAGTGATGATTAATTAAGACGATGATGAAATTAATTAGTATATATATATAGGGGTAATAAAAACAGAACTCTACTCAAATTGCCTCACCGCGTTGTTGCGTGTTCCACCTCTACTCTATCACTCCTCCAACGTCAACATCGAGGGTTGACCCCACTCCAGACCACAATGAGCCCGGACGCACCAGATTCCTTCTCCTCGCCGGCCCTTCTTTTTCTCTCCCGAACCCTATCCATTCGCTGCAACTGGGTGGAAACCATAATTGGCCTATATAATATACGGCTCCCTCCTTCTCCTCTCTCGCTGAGCTTGCTTCACAAACCGATCGGGAAAAACCAAACGAATCCCACATCCCCCCCAAAAGGCAAAAACCCCTTTCTCCACATCAAAGCAATAATCAGGTTTTCCAGTTTCCCCATACAGAACCCTGGAATGGAATTGACTCTATCCAATCACTGCCTCCTCCTCCCTTCCTCGCTGAGTTCCCGCCACAGTGGTAGCCGGAATCCATATCGGAGCCTGAGCTTCCGGTTCGATTCCGGCAACGGGCTTGGAGGGAGTACTGCCTTGGTTGTTCATCGGAGATCATCAGCGGTTGTTGTGGCTCGAGCTGGGTCGAGCCACTGTGAGCCCAGTAGTAGTAGCAGCAGCAGCAGCAGCAGCAGTAGCGGAAGCCTGAACACGCCGCTGGAGCCGCGTTCAGCTGCTGGGAAGTTCCTCAGCGGCGTGTTTCAGAACCAGAAGCAGCTGTTTCATCTCGCCGTTGCCGATGAGCTGAAGCTTTTGGCCGGGGAGAGGGATGATGCTGCAGCTCGCCTGCTGCGCAGCTCTGGTTCCGATGAAGCTGTCCTTCACAGGTTTGTTGCTTGCTTGTTCAATTACTCTGATATATATATGTAGTTGCTCTTTCCAATTCCATTCCTAGTTGGGTTTTGTTCTTTCTTGATTTGATTTTTTTTGGCTCCCAAGAAATTCACTGTACGATTCTTTTTTCCAAACCCAGAAAGATGAAATTGGCTGCAAGTTAGTTACCTTGCTTCCTATTATGAAGCATCGCGTCACTGATTTTCATAGCAAAATTTGGTCACTGCAGAACGTGACATTAAGTTCCCCTGTCAACTCTGTTCTTACTGTTCAGTTATGGCTTTATATCTTTATGAAGCGCAAGTTATAGCCTGGTTGAGTTGTTCCTTGCATACTTGGATACTTGTTGCTTCTTCAATTGCTTACAGTAGAGGTTGTTGCTGTTTTTGTAGTTCTGTTACTCTCTAATGGAGTTCATTGGAGATGGCCAGTCATGTTAATCATGTAGTTTAGGTTTGGTATAAAGTCAGCCCTGTGCAATAATGTATAGCCTACTCCCTGTGCTGCAGCTTGATCAACTTTTGCTTGCTTTGTGTTTTGGTTTGGGGAAGTAAGTATGTAGACCTTGACTTGAGGCAGACAATCTAGTGCCTAGTGGGACCTGTAAGCTTTTATCGACTTGTCATGTAGATACTGCAATTCTCTCCCTTTAGGAATGCCATTTATTGCTTCTTATTAACCGGATAAAGGGTGAACCTCTTTCCTATTTGTTTGACAGAGAGAATGAGAACCAAATGAGCACTTCATTAACGTTGCCTGAAACTGCAAATGAGCCTTTTGTGTCTGACAAATGAGGGAAGCAGTTGATTGAGTTTAGGTTTATCATCTATACATGGCAAACTGCCTCTATCCAATCACCAGGGTGGTGACTTGGTAATAAAACTCAGCTGATATGTCTCGTGGATGTTTATGTTTGCAGCTCTATTGGTATCTTCAATGTGGTAGTCAGATATATGGTTGTCCAATAACGTGGTGTGGTAGGCTAAATACCTGTTAATGCATATTTTCAATAGTCCACTCTCCTGATAAAAACCGTCTTCATGATTCCAGGAGGATCGCTGGATTAAAAGAGCAGGAGTGCCAAGTTGCAGTCGAAGATGTCATGTATATGATGGTTCTATACAGATTCTCGGAGATCAGGGTCCCTCTGGTTCCAAAGCTCTCTAAATGTGTTTACAATGGCAGACTGGAGATCTGGCCTGCTAAAGACTGGGAGCTGGAGTCTATACATTCGTTCGACGTGTTAGAGATGATTAAGGAACATGTCTCCACTGTGATTGGCCTTCGATCGGATTCAAGCGTCACTGATACCTGGGCCACAACGGAGATCCAGCAGGTACACCTTGGTCAGATGTATGCTGCCTCCATCCTATATGGATACTTTCTCAAGTCTGCCTCGCTGAGGCATCACTTGGATCGATCTCTAGATGTGCATCAGAATGATCACCTCCATCTCGCTCAAAGTTCAGGTCGTCTGTATTCAGAGAGGTCCAACCATGGGCCGTCCTCGAATCTTATCTTTGGCCATGGTTCATCTAAACGGGATTCCAAGAGTCGTCAGAGTTTGAGGTCCTACGTAATGGGATTCGACGCTGAGTCGTTGCAGAGATGCGCGAGGTTGAAATCGAAGGAGGCTTTGAATTTGATCCAGAAGTACAGCTGTGCGCTTTTCATGGACGAGAAGACTGGTCTGGTGGCGAGCGATGAGACTGTAGTGACCTCATATTCGAGCCTGAGGAGGTTGGTCTTGGAAGCAGCGGCGTTCGGAACATTTCTATGGGACACGGAAGAGTATGTGAACTCTGTGTTTAAGCTGAAGGAGATTGACAACAATTAGGGAGATTAGGATGTTAGTTAAGAGAGGAGGTTCCAGCATTGTGAGTCTTGAGTTCTTTTTTGGTTTGCTGTATATAGCAGTTTGGGGATAGTAAATATGATGTACAGTTTAAGAAACACAGGCCTATTACGAGTCTTATCATGTATGGAATAAGGCATTCAAGTCCTGAAAAAAATCATGCCTCCTATGAGCTGCAAGTTGGTTGCCAAACGCAACTGCGAAAAGCAGGGAATTGGGAGTGAATTCCAGTGAATACACTGCGATGTTACAGGATTGATCTGTTTATAACCTTGCATAACCATTAACCACTCCAATAATCACCCAAAAATCGGGAAAAATCCCAAAATACACATGTTTTTAAAAATAATTCTCGAAATACACGGTTTATGAAAAATCTCAAAATACATATATTTGGACATCATTGCGATCGTCAACTGCGGTTAATGCATCACCACGGTTGACGACCGCGGTTAGAGGTGGCAATTAGGATCCAAATCCATGAATCCAATCCAATCCATCTACTAAATTACCACCTAATCCAATCCATTTAAATCCAATCCATTTGATCCAAATCCAATTGGATTGGTGGATTCATGGATCAATCCATGGATCCAAATGGCAAATTACGATTTGGTACCTATTTTTTTATATTTTACATTTTGGTTACTAAAATTTATATTTTTATACGAAAAATATCATTGGAAAATTACATTTTGGTACCTAAAATTTTTCATTATGACATTTTAGTACCAAAACTTTTCAAATTTTACATTTTGGTCCAAGCCTTTGATGTCATTTGGATTCATGGATCAATCCACCAATCCATTTGATCCAATCCATGAATCCACCAATCCATTTGATCTATGGATCCACCAATTCAATCCACGAATCCGATCCAATTGCCACCTCTAACCGCGGTGAATGCCTGATCTAACACTGAAACTTCAAACGAACACAACTTTGCGCTCGGTTATCCGATTGTAGCAATTTTTTTTTTATTTCACATAAATTTTCAAGATCTTTTAATCTGCAACAAGCCTTCATCCCAAAAAAATGTCATTTGCTACCCCGAACGAGCAATTTTTCGATTTCGACAAACTTTGGAAGACCATAACTTTGTGCTCCGCAATCTGAATGTCATGAAACTTTGTTTGAATTCGCATAACTTTTTTCTGGACCAAAAATTCATTTTTTCATTTTCCGAATTTTTTTGATTCAAAATGAAAACTAAATAAATAGTAATAGGTGGAAAATATAAAAAAAAAATTAAGTGAAAGGTGTTGACTTGGCAGTGACGTGGCGCGTTGACCTTGGCCGTCCAAGATAACAGACAATTTTCAGGTTTGGCCAATTTCGTTACTTTGGTGTATAGTTCAGGCCATGAAGTTATCGATCGAAAAGATTAACCAGGATGTTTATTATGTGGGCAGTACAAATATATTAACCCATATTAGAACTACAGTTAATATAGGAATAGAATTGATTGAATGAAAGTGAGTTACTTCTACTTTCTGCTCTAGGGTAACCTAAAATCAGTGGCGTAGCCAGGACTTTATGTAAGGTGGGTCTGATTTTTTTTTAATATCCACGTTGTTCATTGAAAATTTTCTTTCAACACTTGCAGTGTAGCCTTAGTTTGAATCTAAAACCTGATTTATTGAATTCATTATTAGGATAAAAAGGATCTAGTGAGTTTCAACAAAATGAAGCTTTGGCGATAGATAATGGATACATTAAGGATTTGAAGCTTGGAGGATGAAGTTATATTTTATGCTAATATTATTTATGCAGAAACTAAAATGTATTATATATAATGATGATAGCTAAATTCATGATATAATTATTGTTTGATGGTAGAAATATTGATCAATATTGATGAATTTTAGGTGAAAAATCTCATTGTCACTTAATTATTGTATTAAGGAGTGAAGAACCATAGCGTACTAGTGGTTCGATAAGAAAAATCTCATGCTGGAAGCGAAATTGATAGAAGATATTAGTGATATGAAATGGTTGAACCATGATTAAACCACATTTGCAACATAAAATATCCTACCGTTGACTTATCCGATACAACCTTCTACCACTATTAACCTAGACGTACATATTTTCTGTCGAGCCAGGACCCACCTTGATATGTACTACCTCCGCCACTGCCTAAAATAGGGATTCAAATATCTTTTACGCTTGAATGAAAGCGTCACAATTGCTCTAATCAAGAGTTCTTGTCACTAGTTAAAGGAGTCCATGCACTTGTATAATCAAGACCATAAAAGACCATTCATGAAGAAAAACACCAACAAATACAATTAGGGAATATACCGCCATCGTAGCTATAGTGAGAGAAATTTCAACAAGATAAACCAGTGTCATTATAAAAAACAATCTCTTTGCCTGATCAATTTTGGCAATAGAAACACGAAAAATTGGGAACTAAAAAAATTAAGAAATGGACAAAATGGCCTTCCCCGCCCGCGTCGCATTTTTGGCTTAGGATACTGACCTATGAGTAACTAAATCTGAACATTTAGATCTAAGTGGATCCAGAAAATTCAGATATAAGGGTTGTCAATTAAAGACATTTTATTTCCTATAGTTTTCATAATCGGCTCTTATCTTCTTCGTTTTAACTCGGATTTCAAATTTTTTTTTGCACATATGGAACGAGTTCGTTGTGCTCTACAAAATGAGATCAATTTTCAATATATTTCGAGAAACTTTTTTTTTTTTGCCAACTACATACCATATGGTAACTTCTTCGTTTTTAAGTCGTTTCTGAAAACGTTTGCTCATAAGGAACGAGTTCATCATGATTTATTGGATCTACAAATTTCTGGGTGAAAAAAATACTCGAGCAAATATTACCATACTTTACCACTATGGTACGTGGGTGGTAACTTGTGGTAAACAATGAAAGTCGTAAATGACAGTTAATATACTCCTACTATCATGTATTCAATTTTCTTACCATATTGGTATGTTCATATCATCATGGTACGCTTCCTTTTTGTGCGCGGTTAGAATAATTAACAATTTGAAAATTTTGGTTGTACGATACAAGCCTCCAAGCAATCATCATCACAAAAAGGAAGCTATACAAGCAATCTATTCAAGATTAACACATAATAAACATAAGGATACCCTGTAAGCATTTGTAAACAAGTATACTAAACACCCCCCTCCCCACACACACACTTAACTTACACATTGTTCCAATGTGCACAAGACAAGGTAGAAGTGTGTAGAAACAAGTTTACCATTATGTTCAATCGGTGAAGAAGGTGAAGGAAGGTCAATTGAAGATTCAATTAAGCTCTTGGAAGTGAGGTAGATCACACATCAAGATAGGAAGACACAAATTTACACAAGATAGTTGTTTACAACTAGACTAGAAAGCATAAAAAGTTAAAAAGAAAGAAGAAATCAAACTGGGATGGGTTTGCCTCCCAACCAATGTAGTCAAAAGCGCGATTCTACCTAGAAGCGGAAAATGGGTAAAATTGTAAAGCGTAGAATCAAAGCGTAAGTTTTTGACGCATGCTATAAAATAGCTAAAATTTTCTGTTTAGTACGACACATACTATGTAAAATATAAGTATACGTAATTTAGATAATTTAATAAGCACCTGCAAATCATGTCTAAAGTAGAGAAACTTATAGCATTGATACAACCCAACTCGCAGGCTGTATATTCCAGAGTCGAGCAGCTCACTCCAATCCCATAATAATGGAATTGCAGAAGCTAAAACAGAGATCTTTGATGGGAGATTCAATCGTGCAACTTCAACACTCAAGTTGGGGAAGAGGCTCGACTAAATATAGGTAGCAACTCGTCCACGATCGAGGTGATGATCGACCGATGCTGAGCTCGCTTGTTCGGTGGAATCAATTCCACACAACCAAGGACAATTCACGAGAATGACTCGATGAACACAAAAGTTGATTTCATAAAACGTGTGTTCAATTACAGCACAAACTAAAGCTTAAATAGAACCTAGCTAACCTTGTGAACAATGGAAATCGTCATAAACCTATTACAACTCGAAAACCTAAACTGAAACACAAAAGGAAATAGCAATCCGAGACACTTAAGGAAAGAAACTCTTTTCTGCAGCTCCACGTCACCAACAGCCTGGATGCAACCTTTGAGGCCTTCGACTGATGACTTCCAGGAGCATTTTCAATCATCCAACGCCCTTCCTTTGTAGATGAAAATGCATATTTTCATGTGGTATCGAGCCCCTGACTCGATTCTCTATCCTCTGCCCAGAATGGAACTCCAAAGTGACCTTCCTGAACATACCTCCAGACTTGGTACAATTCTGGAAAACTGCCAGTTGTGTGATAGCTACTTTGAGCCCGTGGGAAGCAGCATTAATGGCGTCGTATGAATCCGAAACCCATACCATCTTGTTCAGAAAGTCTTCATGATCAAAACAATACCCTAAACTCCCATTTTCATCAGCCCAATTGGTAGAACCGAGCTCCCAAAGTTGACTACCTGAACACGTCAATACACTTAGCCAAAATTCCAGATTGTTCAAATGAGTTGGGTTAGCTTCGTGGGCAAGTAATTCGAGCTTGGTAATGACGCAATTCTGGGTCCTCTGCCCAGAATGGAACTCCAAAGTGACCTTCCTGAACATACCTCCAGACTTGGTCAAATTCTGGAAAACTGCCAGTTGTGTGATAGCTACTTTGAGCCCGTGGGAAGCAGCATTAATGGCGTCGTATGAATCCGAAACCCATACCATCTTGTTCAGAAAGTCTTCATGATCAAAACGATACCCTAAACTCCCATTTTCATCAGCCCAATTGGTAGAACCGAGCTCCCAAAGTTGACTACCTGAACACGTCAATACACTTAGCCAAAATTCCAGATTGTTCAAATGAGTTGGGTTAGCTTCGTGGGCAAGTAATTCGAGCTTGGTAATGACGCAATTCTGGGTTGTATCAGGCTCTCCCTCTTCAAAAAGCTTTGCCCTCAAAGCTGGTTCTTTCTTCTTCTCGAAATCGGCACAGAACTGAGTCCAAATCGGGTCGAAATATTGCATCCCAAACTCCATTTTCTGCAATTCGGAAACAACGTTCTTGAACAATCGGAGTGGGGCTTTTCGATTCGGGTCTTGCCAACCCAATTCGCTACTTCCACGAGGTTGGTCACACCCCCAATCGACTTCCTGAACTGACTTCGGCTCCCGCATCGTCGCCGTTCGTGGTGTTCCTGCTCTTTGTCCATTCCCGCCAACGGCAACCTTCAAATTCGTATTCCCCAGAGAATGCAATCC